TTGCTGACCGACTTGCCAGCTTTTCGGCGGATGGTGAAGGTGATCAGCTCGTGGTCGCTGTCACCCAGCTTCCCATCGATCACTAGGTCGCCGACTAGGTCATCCCCAGTAGCCAGTACCAGGTCGAGCAGCGCTTTGCCTCTCGTTGGCCCATAGACTTCTTGAGTCAGATAAATATTAATTTTCTAAATTTTTAGGGGGCCCACAGGCTGGATAGAATGGCCTGGTAGGCTACATCAGGCCTGTGGGCCACACTTTGCCCACCCCTGCCCTAATCTCTATGATCAGCAAAGTGAGAAACACTGTGTAGAAATGCAAGATCAAGAGGTGAAATCATTTTTGAGACAGTCCTAACTCCAGGTACTAAACTGCAGAAAATGAAATCATGTCCAGGCTACAATCTATTTCTTAAAATTAACACAAGAAAACCTACAATGCATTTCAGTGAAAGGATATCTTGCAGGACTGTCCTTGAGGGCATTTAAGAACCCTGTTTGTTGTGATCCTGTGGAAACAAAAGACATTTAATAACTGAGTAAGATTTTTTATTATAAACTGATTTCACCACAGATCACATCCATAGATTACACACAATAGAAGCCTGAAGATCAATTGCATAATTACATTTTGAATGTATTATACCATACAGTTCCCTAATATGAGGCTGTGATTTTGTTATTCAACAAAAATGTTAGACCTGATTATAACTCAGTCACATCTGCAGGATATTTTCTCAGTAATACCAGATTGATGTCTGCATAGTTTCCCATGAATAAGATTTCTGATTATCCCTCTGTATTCTTTTCAATCCTAATATGGAAACAAAAGATTGCAGAAGCTATTTTTTTCCTTATGAAATGCTCTGCTCTTTTCAAAGTTACTTTTGGTCTTGGAAACATGATAAAAATAAACACTGTGCTACAGCCCAGGTTCTCGGTGGCTCCCTGTTTATCCTAGGAGCCAGGGAACCAAGTACAGTTCTCCAGTCTTGGGACATCTTGAATAGCACCTCCTAATCCTATCTAATCTAGAGCAAACCGACAATCAGTCTAGTTTAGGGCAGGTCCACTAGCAGGTATTAGGGGTGCACCGATAGAGATTTTTTGGGCTGATGCTGATGTGATGGGCAATTTTTAAGGAGGCATATCAGCCAGTACTGATCTGATGGTTGATATGCAGC